GGGCTCTGGGTTACGGACCTAGCTTAGCGAGCAGTGTGTTGCAGCAGTGCTGTAAATTCACCTCTCTGCAGCCCAGACGAGGCATACCTGTAAAAAGCAGTTATGTGAGTACAGTTGTGTCTCCAGTAGGTGCTCTGGGGGCAATTCTTCTAATAAGACATTGCACCTTCTCGTTGCTCACTAGCCAGGAGAGATCCACAGGACAGGCTTATTCTGGGATAGCATAGCCCAACTGAACGAGGTGGAACGAGCAATCTAGTATAGGCAGCCTAGCGAGGGGATGCTGCTATGTGGTTATTGAGATGTTCACTCCACTATAGCTGTCGCTATTCAGGAAAGAAGTGGGCTATACTATTCTATACCTAGATAGATCCACCCATAGATCTTTTGGCATATGGGTGTGCAGAGCAGAGCGGTTTTGACACTCTTAAGTGAGGTGGGTTGCCTCGTGTGGCTGCACTCATGGGACAGAAAATGCTGCTGAATGAATCAGCTACATCAGTACAAAGCCTGTATGGAGAAAAGGCTTTGTACTTTTACTTAGAGTTACTGTCTCTATTAAGTTTTCCCCTTGGGAACTTTTTTGGTACAGTATGTATCTCTTCCTTGTAAATAGCAAGAACTGGGAGAATGTGATTATATAGGTTCACCTCCTACTGTGAAGGTGTTACATGTAAGTGTATGCAGCTGACCTCTTACGTTGTCTGCACAGTCTTTGGGTTGCTGGGGATAAAAGGACTTGCATGGGGGGGCCCTCTTCTGTGAGCCTGGCTGGGAAGGAAGACATATTGTTCTGCATGTGAAAAAGAGATTTTAAATCTTTCTTTTGCAGTGAGTTTGAGACAACTACTTTTAAAAACCTCCAAGTAGCTGACTGTAAATAAATCTAGATGAGTGAAATACTTGTATTTTTAAAGCTCTGAAAACATATTTTATAATGGAGCTGAAGGATGTCTTTGCAGTGGGAGGTACAGGAATTACAGCAATGTTTGCAATCATCTGCAGTACAGGCAGGCATGGTACAAATTCTGCTATATTGGTTTCAGTAAAATATGGTATGCCTGGCCTGTAATATTTACAACTGTCATAAACTTTTTGGTTATGCTGTGTACACTATCAGATCTATTATGCTCTTAAAATCACCTAAGACTAATTCATTGATGGATCCCAAACCAAGAGTTTCATTAGAAACTTATACAGAAAATCATGATAATGACTGTTTACAAAGACAGTGCTCTTGAGGTGTATTCAATCTTTGAGAGAAAAATATGACTATTGCATAGTCATAAAAGTAAAAAAGCATAGAATATTTTTTATTCATTATAGCTAATTAAAATGTGTATAATTTGAACATATTACAGTAAATGCATAACTGCAGCACATTGGAATGTATTATATCTACAAGAAGAACAGTTGTTCAGCGTAGTTGTGCAGTGAAATATTTTCCTTATTCTAATTTATTTCTACTTTTGCAAAATCACACATCCATGTGTCATTTAGGCATCTTTCTGCATGCATAGTCAGTCTTTCGCCTGAATATTTCAATAACAGCTAATCAATTACAAAGTAAAAGCTCATGTTCAGCTTAATTATTAATTAATTTTCTAATGCCATGCTGATATCAGTGACATTTTTAAAAATAAATCTTCTGGAAACAATCCAGCTAAATCAGAGGGAAAAACAATTAAGAAAGTTGTATCAGAACTGAGGTGTTTGACATTAATGGTTTGTGTGCTGCCACTTCAAATTTCACATGCGCTCCAAAAAACTGAGGAGACTGACTATTGATAATTAAAATCAGAAAGATACTGGGTTGATTGGATTCCATACGAGAAGAATAAGCAAAATCATTCTTAGTTTACAATGAAGAGGTAAAACAACCAAAAGGCATTTTTTAAGGTTTCAAATAGTATTGGATTAATTGAAAGAATTAAAAATAGAAGCAGCTTTCATTCTCTGAGTTACCATTTGGGGCCCCAGAGTAAAGCTGATGACGTTTCCGGACAAAAGAAAATCAATAGCATGCCACTTTTAGTATCTCCTGAATGTTAGGTAGTTAATAATTTAAAAAAGAGAGCTTGCTGCTACACTTACAAGGTTGTCCCTTTTGTCAAAGAAGCAGCCAGGTTCAGTTGCCTTTTGGGTATTCCTTTGTACCCTTGCTCTCAGTGAATTAAAATGGCTTCTCCTCAAATAAGAGAAACTGCCCTCAAATTGCAGGGCAAGATTTTTTTATAGCCTTGATATGAACCACCTCAAAGATGAGAGGCTTTAAAAAAAAAAAAATCATTCAAAGGTGTTTTGGATTAAAATTATTTGACCAGCTCTTGAAGACAAAAAGGGAATTGTAGTAGGAACAAATGCAGGCAGAGGTGATTGTGCCTGCTCAAGGGCTTGACCACAGTTTCTGCTCAGAGGAAGCTCCTGAAGAATGAGCAAAATAATTTTCGGGAATGTGTATTTTAACAGTTGTGCGTTGCACAAGTGTAAATTTTTTCCATCTCCTGACCTGAGCTTAGGTCTGTTTCCTGCTTCCAGGCTGTGCAGCACAGATGGTGGAGACTAATTGGGGTGGAGGACAGAGCCTCTGTGTGCTCTTGAAATCCCATGCTTCTCCGAAGGTCGAGGGGGCAGTTGCTGTAGCACAGGCATCCTCGGGGCTGATGTGAGTGGTGACAGCCTCCCCAGGTTTGCCTGCTGGTCGTGATGCAAAGCTGAATGTGTAGCAGTCATCTACTGTACTTCTTTCCAGACGAATTCCTCCATCCCGCCATCTGACTTGGCCGGCAGAAGTGTGTGTGTGCATGGCGGTGCCTATAGCGAGCCCTGCAGCAGCCCCGGCAGATGCAGAAGCAGCATTTGGGGTTCACATCAGCTTTGCTGTGCCAGGGTTGTTTTACATTGGCCTCTTTTTCTTGGGCTTGCATTTTACCAGCGTTGCTGTAAGTAGACCTCTGTCAAACTGCTTCCTCTCGCCTTTTCCAAGTGTCAGAGCTTTGGAGGGCAGGATGGGCCGCAGAGAGATGCAAATTGTTTCCGTGTACCAGCCCGGGTGCTCAGAGATGTTCCCATCTGCCCTCCAACAGCTTGCACTAAGCCCCATCTCTGCTAAAACTTGCACTGTAGCAGGCTGAGACTTGGTCTGGGAGCTTGGGGTTTGTTGCCCTTCCCACACTTTCCTTCTTCCCAGAAAACAAGAAGAAGTCTCAGCAAGACTTGTTTCACCTTTCTGTCTGTCCGTAACCTTCACGCCAGTGTTCAGTCCCGGCCACTGTTCTGGATGTCATTATATGCCACATATGCAGATTATGGAGGAAATGGAAATCTGTTTCCAACTCTGTGAGCAGTTGCACCATGCATCAGAGTAAGTGCTGCTGAGGAAGGAGAAAACAACGGGACATCCGACCAGACACCCTCTAATTTGTGTCTTTCCATTGTTAAAGTTGAGATTTGACAGGTAGAGAAACCACACCTGGCAGCTGGGTTTTCCTGTCATTCTGAGGGATCTGGGAGAGTGGCTGTAATGACAGAGAGAGATGCCAATCAGAGCTTTTGTAGAGCCCGGTCATGTAATTTGTGTTGTGTTTCTTTCATCGTACCATCAGCCAGCATCGCTCACATTCAGTCGTAAGGTCCCTGTATGCAGGTACGCTGTGTTACACCCAAACCTTTTGTTTGCTCTGTCGTCGTCTCTCGTTTCTTCCCCTCACGCTGCTTCTCCAGTTGCCTCGTTAAGCAATAGGCAGCCATAGGTGAATCGCTATGGGTGTTGGCCGTGCTAAAAAGATCCTGAAAATATCTCCTCCTCAGCCCGAGCAGCAGTAACGAAGCAGGACTGTCAGGTGGTGGGACCCCCCCAAAGAAGGAATGGTACAGATGCGCAGCATGTGCAATTTAAAATGGTAATTTAATATGCCATTATTGAGCTGATGTCAAGAAATGGCATGTTAAAGGCTTTTTAATGGACACATGAAGTAGCACGAGGATGAAGCTGACACTGTCTCATGTCTGTGAGCAGAGGTGGCCTTTCTGCTGTACCATATCCATGTTTCTTATTATTCAACATTATTCTGCATGAGCCACGTCCATCTATATGTAAATTACAAAGGTCAGGTCCACTTGTATGATAATTAAATTTTAATAAACTAAGAATAATTTATAACATTCAAGTCCACATTATAATTGAACGGGATAGCTATCCCCCACACAGCCTCAGTACACGATATAGTTTATGCATGAGCTCAGGATTCTCTGCACGATGCTGAAATCAACATTGTGTGCTAGGGATGTGGATACTTATTTTAGGCACTGAGTTTGAAAATTGTGGTTTTTAGAAATATATGCAAAAATATTGCCAAAATAAGCATTCAAAAACTCATTTCAATATGCAGCTGCTTGTAAGCACAGTAATTAAGATATATTGAGTAAATTTACTACATCTTTTCTCACACACACCAATGAGGTAGAAGTTGCACATTTCAGACAAAGACTCAACAGATCTTTAAACTCCAGCCAGGACTCAGCAGAAAGCCGTCTGGGAGAGCAGGTCTGCTGCTTAGCCTGGTCTTGCCTCCACTGCTCTGAGCTCTTTGATGGAAGGAATGTTGTTGGGATCACACAGCTCCCACCTATTGTAGATGGATTAATTATTGTTGTGGATCTGCAGCATTGAGTTCTGGCACGACAGCAATGGGTTAACTCAACTTTCAATGTTTTCAAAACACTTTTCACAAATTAACTCACTTATCCTCACAATTCTGCAGGGAGGGAGAGAGGGAAGGAGTCAGTCTACCTGTTTTCTGGATAAACGAACTGAAGTGAGGGTTTTGACATTTTTCTCGGCAGGAATCAATCAGTGCCGGCTTTACACTTCACACGCCATCACCAATCACTCATTGCTCTAAATGCCGTGTTTACACTCTGCGGCAGGAGATCCGTGCTCCTAGCTTGCTCCTTCTCTGAAATAAATCAACAGGTTTTACCTCTGCTTTCTCCTCCAGCTGGGGTGATGCTGGTCCCTGAAAGGAAGACGGAGGATGGGTTTGAGGAGCACTTCGGCTTGAACTACTTGGGACACTTCCTGTTGACTAACCTCCTCTTGGATATGCTGAAGCAATCAGGAACGCACAGTCACAACGCTAGGATCATCACTGTCTCATCAGCCACCCATTATGTAGGCAAATTGCACCTGAACGACTTACAAAGCAGGTACCCATCCATTTTTGTTATTCACCGATCTGCAGTAAGGGTGTGCAGATTAAACTCCATGAGAATTGTTACCAAATACTGAATGGGGGGAGAGGGATTGTTGCCTTTTTTTCTTTTTTTTTTTTAAATGAACAGTGATTCTCAAGCAGTTGCTAAATATCTTTCAGACTTGAGCAAAGCTTGCAGCCTTCAGTCAAAGATACAAATAATTTATAACTTTGTAAACTGAGTCTTTTATTCTGAACCTTGAAAGCCTGGCTTCCTTTCTGATGCTTACACTGCGGTGACGGCTGTGGTGCAGAGCCTGGACTCCTCACTGCCAAACCAGGGAGACTCTCAATAACTGGGATGTTTTAAAATGGCTTGGGCGAATGCTAATAGACTTCGTCCTCAAGTGAATGCATAGGTAGAGGCCCTGATCGTGCCCTCAGACGGGCGCAGACAGATGCCTGTGGCCGCTAGCTCCCCGCCTGCTGAGCGCAGGGCTGCTGACTTGGCTCTGGGGGGGCAGCTGGCCCCACCTGCCCGGCTGCCTTGCAGCTTCGCCCGGCCCACACGCTGCCTGCTGCTCCTTCCTCCCCGCCAGCTCTGCGCGCTGGCCTGCAGCTCCTGGCACACCTCCCATCCTCCCTTCCTTCCGCCTCCGGCCTCCGCCTTGTCCTGGACCGTTCCTGGCGTTCTGGTCCCCCACCTCTGCCTCCCTCACAGCCCTTCTCCAGCTTCCCCGCCTGCCTCCCGTCCCCGGGCTGTGTCATCCCTCCCGTCCCTGTGGTGCTTGCCCTCTCACACATCAGCCTGGTGATCCACTGCAAATGCTGGAGCCCTGGCTCTTGTCTGGGTCACCCCCTGCACTTCCCTGAGAGCTTACCGAGATCCGAGTGCACGGCCGTCCTGGGTTTTTAACCCAGTAAGATGGGTTAAAATGCATGGCCGTATCCTGTCCAATTACTTGCATTTAGGAAAACTGTGGGTGAATGTCTGTGGGATATTTCTAACATTAGGAAGACATCAAATGATGTGGTGAATGTCTCTGGTATCATAAAGGAACCGTGTAGAGTTGTTCAGTTAATTGAGGAATGGGCAGGATAACTGAGATAGATACATTTCAAAATTTCCCCATGCAGTCACGTGTGGCAGTTACATGCTTACTAACAGGCTCACACAGAGCCTATCTTCTGATGGGCTCCAGAGCATTTCTGCCTGCACAGAGCCAGGCTGAATTTTGCATCATTTCCCTGGAGAAATTCCTTCTCCGTCCTTTGACAGGGACTTCAGCACGTGTTCAGAGGCACCTGACCTGAGGTTTCATTTTGGAACAAAGACCGAAATTAGAGAGCTGGGCTGTTTCCACTGCAGACATTTTACATATGAATGCTGCATTAAGCATGTCAAACTTTCTGTTTGACTTCTGATTACATACTACGGCATCAGTTTTATTACAAGTACATTGTTTAAACTCTGCAGGGTACTGGCAGTTTAATCTCTTGCTTGTAAAACAACCACAGGAAATTACCCTTACTCTTCACTTGAGGTATGTATTCATTGTTTCTGATGGGCATGTGCTGGATGGCACCACGCAAGGGGGCTAAGGGGAGTGTAATTAGTATTTCTTCGGGCTAAAGGGCAGAATGCAAAATTAAATGTGGCTGTTCTGTGTCTCTAGATAATAGTAGTTTCCTTGATTATAGCAAGGCCTTGTACTGTGCCTCTTTAATTTAGGATCATCCTTACCTGTGATTCATCATTATTAACTCATATGTTAAAGGAACCAGAAATGTTTCAGTTAGGGAAGTTACGGTTGAGCATGAACATGACCGATCTGTTGTAAAAAATAATAATATACCAGTGAGATTTACCTGCAGCTTTTGCGCCAAACCCTGCCCTTTACATTTCAACTTTATTGGTGTAAGAAGAGCCATAAAGGACGACAGACTCTGGCTGATTTTGCCTGCTCTTTCCCACATGGATGCTCTGAATTGCTCGGGGGCAGCAGCGGTGCCTGCTTTCTGAGCATACAGGCACACTGGTGGGACCCAGAGGGGGCTGTGGATTCGGCTCCAAACCTTTTATTGCTTCATGTAGAAGAAGATACTGCTGGGTTTTTTTTTAGCCTAACTGCCGATAAGCCCCCACTCAGGCAAATAGTTAGTTATCGCATAAACAGTGCTGCTAAAACTAGTGAGATCGCTTGTGTGTTTGAGTGTGTGCCTACAGCGTGAGCGGGTGGTTTAGCAACCCTGGAGGACTGTTGCGGGGTACCATACACAGGCATTGCCTATACCACGGGGCCTCAGAGATGTCTTGTGATTCAGAGCAGCATTTAAGAGCTTTAATGGATGTGGTAAAGACACCCATGGTGAGCACTGTGATACGATAGTGTTCCATGAATTGCCACAGTTTCCCAGTGATGCCATCCCTCAGTTTTGCCGCTTGTGTGAATGGGAAATCTTTCTAAAAATTTTATACTGGCTTTTTCCTTATTTTGAGTTGCACTAGCTGGCCATAATTCATTTCACAATTTGGATGTATGTTCCCAGATTGGCAGGTAGTCCTAACCTTGCAGGGAGGAAGCAAAACAATTTGAAGTCATTTATTCACAGTGGAGAAAGGGGGCCGTACTCTGTGCTGGAAAAATTACCAGTGGCAGCAGACTGAATTTTTTACCATGCTCTTGTCCCGTTATTCCTAGATTTTGGTTGGGCTAGTGTCCAAACTGGAGGTGAGTGATGGTGGCGGAGGAGGGATCCATCCATCAAACACAACAGAGAAGGAAAGGCAGAAGACTGTCTTGACTTAAAGGAGACAGTAAACCGAGGCTCAGTTCTTTGCTTTACCACAGATTTTTCTATGGGATCGTTCTTCCACTCAGGAGGCTCTGGGCTGGCAGTCGCAGTTGTGGCCATTGCTCCCATTGCTTGTACTTGCTGCTTGGAGTTCTGCCCTGAAGCCAGAAGTCATCCATATCACAGTGACCACAGGGCAACAGCATAACAAGTAATTGTTGTAAGGTCTGTCCCATGAACAGTATTAAATGCAGCTTGTGCTACTGTCTTCCGCGTTTCCTCTTTGGTTTGTTTTCTGCCATCTTATCAATCTGATTTATCCCATGTTTCTCTTTTCAGCTCTTTTTTGGCAGGAGGGTTAATTTATTTTTTCCTTGCATTTTACATTATTTTTCTTTCTTTGTTATCGCTCTCTTCATGCCTGCCTACCTGATTTCTATGTTCACAGTTTCATCTTCACCTGTGTCTTTTGAGCTTTTTTGTCCCGTTGCCTTTTCCCTCTACTATCTCATCATTTTTCCTCTTTTTTTTTGGTGGGGGGTGTGTCTTATTTCCACTCACCAGTTCATTTCCTCCTCTCCATTTATCTTCCTCTTATCTTCTCCCCCTAGCCCAGTCCTATTTCTCCCCTATGAATGTCATTTCTCTCCTTTCCTGCCCATCCTCTTCGCACACACCAGTAAAAGAGACATGGCATGGGTACATCAAGGCAGGACAGAGCTTGTTCCAAACTGGCAGGGCATAGCTTGTTTCAAGTGTGTTATTGAAAATGCAAACGCACAAGAGCAATGACTGTTCTCCCAGTTCTTTTGCTGAAGGATATATGAAGAACATCAAACACCTTTGTGGTCTTTTAGATCCAGACCGTTTTCAACAGCAATCACATGAGTCGACAAGGGGATCCCTAAGGCAAATCATTCTCCTTCATCCCTACTTCGAATACGACTGTTTTCAAGGAGGTGAAAGTTTAACACAAGCGCTATCTGCAAGCGTTTCAACAGTGGTGATTTCAGCAATTACATGCTGAGGGTAGTACACTGTGCACTCTTAACAGCATAGCTGGGATGTCCTTTCTTCCTCTTTTGCCTGCCTTAAATAATACTTTCTAAAGTGAGAGAAGAAAAAAATATGGTCATGAGAGAATATGGCTGTCTGGTTTTAGCAAAAGTTTGAAGAACATTGTGCCATCCTCTTGGGTTGAGGTAGGCTTGAACAGTGCACTGGAGTTCATGGTGCTCTTACAAGGCTGGGATGGCGGGCACTCCTTCGAGTACTCTACCTACCAAAGTAGGAAGGAAGATAAAGAAAAGGCGACCTTATTCCCTTTCCCAGCCTGTGGGTCACACTGAATATGTTCCCTTTCCCAGGGGGAGCATCTTTGTGTGTTCTGTCTAGCTTTGTCTCCATGACTAACTATTCCTTTCATCATCGTCTCCTTTTGCATGCCAAATGGGCCCTGTAATGCTATGAATCACAGATCTATGAACTCCCCAGCCACAGTAACACAGCTCCTTTTCTGGTTCATGTCTGCTGTATATTCAGGAACAGTTAGTCACACGTTTTCTGCTCTCTTTCCTCTGCTCTCTCACTGCGGAAGGAGCTCATGTTCTTTGTAACTCTCCAAGCTGGTGCAGTCCCCAGATAATTTCTGTATTTTTTCCCTGTAGCCCTAGTGCATGAATCGTGTCAGAGACAGTAGAGATTGAATGAAAGGAATTGCAAAAATCTGCCATATGTGCTTCCTAGCTGGTGTAAAATAGGGTAAACAGCTCTGCCCAGGACCTGGGAGGATGCTGGGGAGGGCAGGCAGCTCCAGTCCATCTCCTCTGCTAGGCGGTTCATAAGGGCTGTAACAGGAGGTGGCACATGCTACTGGGAAAATCTGTCTAGCAAAGTCCCTGGAGACCTCCTGTTCTTGGATGGGTGGTGTCCTTCGTCTTCACTTCTTGTGTGCGTGTGACGTTTGTTGGTAAATTAAGTTGTATTAAGTTTGAGCAGACAGTTGAGGATTTTGTCCCATCAGCATTGCAGAGATTTTGAAAATCTTATCCATGAATAGCAATGAAAAGTTAATATGTCAAATTACTTTTGGAAAATACGAATCCATTTTTCAGACGCAAACCATTGATTTCAGTGATTTCAGAATATTTTATTTCTAATTTATTTGTAAATTGAAGTATAATGTTGATCAAACTGAAACTCCAAACTTTTAATTTC